GATCTGCAGTCAGATCCCAAGCCAACAGATTCTAGATCCAACACCCAGTAAAATATTCTGAAAAAGTCAGTTGCTTCTAAATTACTGGGAAAGCCCTGGCCCATCTTCCTGAGCTATAGAGTGATACATGTTAGCAAGAGTCTCTCACTTGTTTTAGGCAGCATCAACTGGTTTTTTCACCTTTCCAGTTTTCTGATGAGCAAAAATCTGAATTATTGAGTTGGCTATGCAAAGTCCTTCGAAAGAGAAGTTGCAGAACACGACAGGTGACAATTAGTAATTCACAACAACAAAGCATTTCTGAACTCAGGCCTTCACTGAAGGCAGTTGCTGACCTGGACTTTCAGAGTACTAGATGAGGAGAACAAAGATTAACCTGGCATCAACCTATACCCTCATCATCATGGATTCTTCCATTTTAAGACTTCTAAGATTCATTTCCCTGAATACAATGAAAAGAAGATGTGATACTACCTGTGAAGGAGTATTTTAGTGGAGGCAGTACAAAGGACAACTAGCTGTCTCTTGGTGGTTGTGGTAGAAAACATCTCATCTGCTGAATCAGCACTTGTCACCCTGAACTAACAGTCCTTTATAACCCAAGAGCTATCTCTGTCTGATGGTTTTTCTTGGCTTGAAGATGGGTAAAAGAGAAAATACTTTGATAATGGAAGCTGTATCCACTGGAGTATGGACACGTAGTGGTTTAACAATCTGAGGCTATGAAGTTTGCCAGGGTTTTCTAAAGCCAATCATCACAGGCTCTTAGAAGATGTATAGGGATAATCTTGAAGAAGGTCTGGAAAAAATTTCTCATGGTACCTGAGCATGTGTAACATCTGGCAAGTGATGTAGTGAATGTGCTCATTTGCGATAGACATCTTTCTGCTGCACAGGCACTGTGTGAACTTGCCGACCAGTCTTCCTTCCCCCTCTAGGGTCAGGGCAGTTGCTGACATCCTAGAAAAAACCAAGGAAAACCTGTGAAACGAGTATGTTTAGAGTTGAAAGGATGCCATAGTGCAGACTCATGCCAAAGCTTTGAGGCAATAAGCCAAGGCTGCTAAAGTTGCTAAAACCAGTAGGTGCTAACATGCCAGGTTGCAAAAATGCCCGAGGCAAAAGTGCTGATAAAAATGCCAAAACTATAGGTACCAAGGACAAAAGCTCAATAGTTAAAACAGTGTCTTGTGACAGGCATCCCATTGGTGAGTGCTGGGAATAAGCAATCAAAGCACTCCACTCATATGATCACCAAAACAAAATTTAAATGTCCTTAAAAGGCTCATCATAACTTTGAGAGCAGTGCAGGCAATTGTTAAAGGGATATCATGGCTGTGGGCAATTCTTTGTTGATGGAGTAAAAGGGGGTTGGTTGGAATATGGTTGAAAGGGAGATCAAGTGTGGTGGTTTGTGACCATCTGTGATTCTGAGAGAGATGAGGATAAAAATTCTGTATCAGCTGGACCCTGGAAATCTTAAGAGCTGAGACATGTTTCACGTTGTCCCCAGAAATGGTGCTGAGAGCACCAGAATCACCTTTAGAAACATGTAATTTTATAAGTTTTTCCTTTCACAACTGAGCAACCTTTTCTTAAAATGCTTCTGTACAACATGGACTTAGATTACTTAATGCAGAGGAGTAGCCACACAGCTTGCAGTTTACTGCCTCTGTGTGCACATTTTTTATTTTTTTTTTTAGAATTACATGGGATTTTTCCACTTTAAAAAACATGTCAACCCTCACTTCTTCAAATGACCTGCATGCCACTTCCAGATGGAGGAGAACAGCACCTGACCGTGGCAGGCCAATACCTGACTTCTTTCATCTCCAGCTGGATGGGAGCATGGCAGGAGAAGGGAAGAAAAGGAAGGAGATAAAGCAGAAGAACTGGAAAGCAGTACCCTACCACTTGCCCCATTACCCAGACAGGAAAAACTCCATGGTGATTGAATTTATCTTGTGTATTTGCCCTCCTCCCTCTGCTCCTACATGTAGGAAGCAGCAGCCTGGAAGGAAGGGATGCTTTGCTGCCATCCTATCTCAGGCACCAAACAGAGCCCTATTCTGCCATGGGTGTCAGTGGTTCTGGCATGTGGCCTGTGTGCTGTACAGGGCTGGGTCTTCTCCACTGGTCATAGGGGCTTTCTGTGTCAGTGAAGCCTGCAACAGTTTCTTCTTAGTCTAACCAATGATATAACTCTTGCTATTGCAAATATTGCAATTAATGCTATCAAATATTGAAAACTAATTCCCAGAGTGGTCTTATTCACTTGCTCCTTGGCTAAAATACATTTCCTACCATCAATTAGTTTATAGTATAGTGAGGTTCAAAAGGGTTTTCCATCTTCTGAAAAGTCAGCTGCATAGTCAGCACTAATGAAAGGGCAATGAATAATACTCTACGTCATAACTTTCTAACTTTAAGAATTCCAGTGGGGTCACTGGGTTGAATTAGAGACCCTTTAATCATTAGTACTGTTCTGTGAATGGTCTGCTTTACCCTGATATTTTACTAGACGTCACTACTTAACACACTTCTGGCTCCATGGAAGGAAAAACAAAAGGCTTTGTATGCCTCGAGGTCCCTGTAGTTTGAGGATCATTATAATTCTACTGAGTCAAATCTTGAGGTCCCTGTTTAGTTAGACCATGCTAAATCCTCCTGAAATCAGCTGTGATTTGTCTAAGCAAAACCATGCTAAGAAGTGCAAGATTTGGCTCTTTAGGAATAGCTAAAACTTTCTCTTTCCCAGGTGGAGGAAGAATTAGTTGCAGTTGAGATTCATACTCAGAGTAATCTAACCAGGTTGTAATTTTGTTACTCCTGTGCCCAGGCAGTACAGTCATGAATCCCATTGTACACAGAGCCAGTTAACTGACGTTTGGGATTCTTTTGTCACATTTGCTTTCCTTGGTTTTGCAGGGTATATAATCGACTGTAATTAAAAGGGCTGGCTTTAAACTCTAACGAATGCTGCATATGTGAAAGCAGTACTGCACAAGACTGACTCTGTTACAAACACAAGTCCTTCATCTCCATAACGAGGACACAAGTGGACCTCTGTAATCTGCTGTGAAAGTGAGGGCTTCTTCCCCCAGTCACTTGTTCAGACCTGCTGAACTCGTGACATTTCTAAGGCCTCGTTTTGTTCCTAAGAGCTGAATGATGGAGGCACCATTTCACAAGATAAATGGATAAATTTCTCATAAACAGTGATATTCCAAATAAAATATTTGCTGATGAAGCTTTAAAAGGGTACTTGAGTCTATGCCAAGCTGAGGAGAAAATAAAATTGGTATTACAATTTTAAATTTCTTAATACGCATCAGAGAGTTTTTACAAGTTTTCACAGTCTAGGTGAGGCTCATGCCCCAAGGAGCCTGTTTCATCTAAATCACTTTCTTCCCCTCTTTCTCCTCCCCAAAACAAGAGGCAATCTTCAAAGGAACAAATATGTAATTTTAAAATACACAACATAAAAAATGGGCCAAATAAATTATTAAAATACATAAAAAAGAGATTCACAGAAGAAGTATATTATTAGCTATTTGACAAGTGACTGATGCTGTCGCAATGGCTGCATTTCACAATGCAAGTGTTTCCTCTGCTAGACAGATAAACAGTTGAAATAATGTGAGAAATGACTTTGCAATCATCCAAAGAACAATTTGGCTTTAAATGGTTCATTTAATGGCATTGCATTGGCTGTGCTGTGTAGTTATTTCATACCAGACCTTCACCACATCCATGTGCTTTGGAATTCCTTCTAAAAATGAGCTCCAAGCCTGACCCTCCTCTCCCGGTCCCAATTCCCTGCAGAAGTGTTACTACATATGCTTTGAATCTTTTTTTCAGATGAGCTCCCAAGTCTAACTCCTTCCTCCCTGTGCTTGAAACGTATGGATTTGAAAGCACAGATGTGGCCTTGAAGTTTTTGGACCAGGCCCATCTGGGTCAAACCCTACATAGTTTGACTAGTAGTTTCTTGACTAAAATTCTCAGAAGTGTTCATTTTTTCTTGTTCTGAATCTACTATGCACTCCCTTTTATCTCTCCTAGTTGAACTACAAGGACCTCAAGGGAGATGTGATTTTCATAAACAGAAAAATAATGACCAGACAGAAGAAGGAAGCAAATTTTTAATGACTGTGAGAATTGTCTTTATGAAGCAGCAAGTTTCCTTTTAGTTTATGCTATATGTAAAAAATATACCATTCATAAATTGGAGAAGAAGGGGAGATTCTTTGTAAATCTCATCTACTTAACTAATAATTAAAAAAAGCTGAGAGAGACTTTGTCCTCCTGCTGCCAGCATTTTGAGTCACTGAGAAAGGGTTCCGGACCTGACCCTGAAAACTGCATTTTAGCGTTAACAGGGACTTCATTAGGATCACTTGTGTGCGAAGGGATGCCCGTGAAAAACAGTTTGCAGGACTAAGTCAACAGACTTTTCCAACCGCTTTTCCAGACATGCTGGCTTCCTTCGTGATCCAGATACCGCCAAGTAGGGACCCGAGGGGTTCAGCCCCGCTCCCGAGCACAGGGGTGCGGAGAGGCAGCGTGCGGACATCCCGGGGCGGGCTGCGCGGTGTCCGGATCCCTCGGCATCCCGGGCGAGGAGGCGCGGCCGGGAGGCGACCCCGCGGCCCGTGCGGGGACGCTGGTTTGGGGCGGCGGGACCCGCGGGTGCCGAGCGGCCCCCAGAGCGGCCCCGCAGGGACGGAGCGCTGCCCGCGGGCCCCCCGCACCCGCGGAGGGCGGCGCTGCCCGGCGGGCGGGAGGGCGGGGGCAGCTCCGCGCATTGTCCGCCCCAGGCTGCGCGGAGCGGGGCCGGCCCCGCCGCCCGTGCCTGGCTGGAAGTGAAACGCGCCCCGGCTGCTCCTTTTTCTTTTTTTTTTTTTTTTTTTTTTTCCCCCATTCTTTCTTTTTTTTTTTTTTTTTTCCTTTCTTCCTTTTTGAGCCTCCAAAAGGCTCACTCGCCCCTTTCATCTGCCGCCGCGGCCCAATGGGAAGGCGGAGGCTGCCTGCAAGTGGTCTAATCTCAATGAGGTGTCAATCATGTTCCCCGGTGGGTGAAGTAAGGTCTTTTGTAACCGCCTCTGTCTTTGGGAAAGAGAGGAGAGAGGAGGAAGGCTGGAGCGGAGAGGGGGACGCCGGACCGTGCTGCAGGAGAGGAGCTGAGATTTGAGCTCGCTTGTGCTTAGCAGGGAGAAGCGGAGCACATGGATTTCTAAACACGCTGGGATTTTATATATCTACAAAAATAACAACAAGCGAACCTGACCCTACTGAACACAGTCAAATGAATCGTAATTGCAGATCAATGCAGAGAGATGGGGAAACTTCACTCGAAACATGGTTAGTTCCTTTCACTTGCTACTTCCTTAGCCCCTTCCCCTTATTCAGATTTTTACTCGGTTTGTTGCTGTGATTTTATACTGGCGTCTAACGATCTTCCTTTATTATTTCCCTCACACACTTTCCTCCGGATCTGCCTAGCTGCCGTTTGTAAACCCAGAGAAAGTCCAGAAGGTAGGGATGGCTCCTTACTGCTAGTAACTTTGAACGCCTTCCCCCGGTCTGCCCGGCTGCCCCTGGCCCCCTGCCCTCTTCTCCCCTCAACTTTCCGCCGTGGTTTGCGCTCCCCGTGCCGGCTCCTGCTCCAGCCCCAGCCCGGCCGGGAGCGGGGATGGCCGCGGGGGCCGGGCGGGCTCTGCGGGCGCTCAGCGGCGGCATTGTCTGCTCTTTTCTAGGTGATAGTTTTGCGGTGAACGCCTCCCTGGCTCGCAAAGGGCTGGAGGACTGGATGGTGAAGCAGAAATACTCCGGGGGCAGCAGCAGCGGCGGCAGCAGCTCGGGACTCCAGCAAGGCTGCCAGCACCGGGCCGTTTGCAGGCTCTCCAGCGCCAGGGTATGTCAGCTTCCTCGCTGCCCCCCCGCCCCTTCCTTTTGAAATAGTGAAAAGCAAAAGCTCTTTCGACATCCCTCTTTCCCTCCCAAAGGGCGGTTGTGCAAAGGAAGGTTTTCTTTGCCCTAATGTTGCTCCAAGGGGCTGCCCCGTGGGTGGTTTCCTTCTGTCCTTTGATGAAGTTGGGAGCTGCAGAGCAAACTTGGTGAGGGTACAAAAGCCTAAGAAGTAAGGGAACCTGACTGCTAGTGTCTGGACAGTACGATTAGAACAAAACCCTTTACAAACAGGAACAGAGAATCTCTGGGAAAAGCCCCGCAGCCAGACAGTGTGTGCAAGCTTGTGAACCCAGAGAAAGATTAGTGCACAAGTTTGCCTGTGACATTTTGGCAGGAAAGGAGAAGTCCCTGAAGAGTGTATAGTTATTTATTTGGTCTTTGATAATAATGTGTGGCTGACTTTCTCTGTAAGAGTTACTGTACATGTTACTTGTCCTGGCTGTTGCCACACTGGTCCCTTTCCACCCCTTCTCTTTCCTTCAGTCCTCCATGTAAAGCAGGGCTGGAGGAAATATTTTATTTGCCTTTTCTTTTATTTATCCTGAATGTTGTCTCTTTAAACAAAAAGGCATGATGGGAGGTAAACAGACTTAACAATTCTTAGATATGGTCCTCAGAGTGTTTCAGGGTATGATCCAGAGCTTATTGATGTTTACTGAAAGACTCCCATTGACTTTGGATCAAGCCCTGAAAGCTTCATCACTGGAAAGGTAACCTGAGAGATGGGGAGATTGGAATCTCTGCTTCCCAGCAAGCAGTGTGGCTCTAAAAGCACAAGCAGAGCAGGGCCACCAAACCTCCTGCAGGCTCTTTGCTTTGTTAGCTACTAGTTGTATTGTTAGAAGCCTGGACTTCTTGTGCCTCAGGAAAAATTAACTCACAAGTGGAGAATACCACATTTCAGGTGGGATGTTAAAGTGAGTAGAAGATGTGTAGTATAGTAAAAGCTAATGATGACTTTTTAGGTTCCACCAGTATTGTATTTCAAGGAAGATAAATTGTCCCTAGAAGTAGGGCAAAAGGGGTGTTTGTGGTTGATGAGCTTAATCACCATCGGCTTGCAGGTATGGTTGGTTGAAGTGATTTTTATTGTGCTTTACTTGGAAACAATATGTCCAAAGAAGTTCTCATTTCTGATAGAACATACGTATGATACGGATGCAAAGAGTAGAAACACATGCTTTTAATTATTTTTCAAATATCACTGGTTTTGTGAGTCAGCCCTTTTAGATGTGTTCTACCTTTCACATGTATATTTTCTAGAAAAGAAGCTCAACTTGCCAAACTAAAACCATAGGTTTAAAATACAAGAGTTAAAGGTAAAAAACTCTGATTTTAGTTTGTGAATTGCATTTTCTTCCACAAACATAATTTGCTTTCTAAAAATAAGGAGGAAATATCTTTTGTCAAAGATACTTTCTATTCATGACACTCTTCAGTTGTCAGCTTCATGAGATCTGCTCAGCTGGAATGACAGTAGAAAGTATTTTTCTTATTACTCAAGAGGAAGTCCTCCTTATGATGGTTCAGCAATTAGCAAGCCATTAACTAAATATTAGTCTGCAGTTTTAGTGTGTTATAAAACTGTAAATAGGTTTAAGTGTTTTTAAAAGCACTGATCCCATGAGGCTTTTTACTGTCATCCTTATAGAGCTGTTTCTGAATGTTCAAAAATATTTGCCATTTATTGCCTAATGTATTTGGTAGTATCTGTATGCATATATAGCCTGCTAATTTATTTAATTTAATTGTCATCCTGTCACTGGCACACTGGGACAGCTACATTAAAGTTCCTTTAAAATATGAACTTTTGGAATACGGAAGGATGCATTTCTAATCCTACATTGGAACCAGATGTTCCATATGTACAGTCATTTTGACAAGGATTATGAAGTCACAGCTATTGACTCCATAACTGAGATTGCATGACTGCTTCTCTTCTGAGGTCTCTTTGATCTCTTGTATAATTATACCAAGTTACAAAATGAATTGTAGCCTAACCTCTTGGTTCTTCATTCACCTCAAGATGTAGAAACAGTAGTTGCTTCTACTGATGGTTTGCTCACTGGGGATTGTGTGGGACAGTTGTGCAGTCCCAACCTTGACCAAGGGCTCTTCTCTTTACTACTTCAAAATTCATCCTAAAATGTTCAATTAGCGTAAGAGGCTCTGTGAAGTGTTAGTTTTATTGTGTCACAGATGAAACTTTGGCTTCTCAGTAAAACCTATCTTTGCCCCCAAATAGGTCATAGTTGCTGCATTTGTGACTTATGGCAGAAGGAGTTAGATCAAACACTGATGAAAATACCTGCATTCACAGAAACATCCAGCTGAATTAAAAAGAAAAGTCTTAGAAATAATTTTCCTACTAGGAATCCTTAACTAGAGCTTTGCTGATGTTGGTTTGGTTAGGAAGTAGGGCATATTTGGTGAAATCCAGTTCGCTCCAAAGACCTGTTGGTGGGAGAGGAGAGCACTTAGTGTCTTCCAAGTCTGAAACCTCAAAGATTTGAATAATTTTTTATCAGAACTTGGATGTGATAGTGCAATTTGACTTATATTACTCTATATAAGCCCCTAATTCTCTCTAGGTTGTAGCTGGAAGGCTGTTTCCCTCAAGAGCAGTGGCACTGAGTTGTTTTGGTGAAGTTAGTTGTACAGGGGAGATGACACTGAAGTTCAGGGGATTCATGTAGCATTTTGCAAGAGGAATGAGTGACTAATACAGGAAAGCAATAAAGTTTCCTTTGTAGTCCTCTCTAGAATGACTGAATTTAGAATAGTTGTGGAGGGGAGGTCTTTATATCAGTTCACTCAAGAGGTGTTTGACTCAAGCAGAGATCAATTATACAACACGTTTTCTTCTCCTGAATGAAGTTTTAAGAGTTGTTTTGGCTAGACCAGACTTCCCTCAGCTGATGCATTGCCCATATTGTGTCCTGTCCATCTGTGTCTCCCTCCTCCAATTCACTGGAAGAACAGTAATTAGTGTCCAGCTGCTACCAGATGCACCAGTCATCTGAGAAGGATCTCCTGGTAAACTGTTGGGTGAAGGCATGAGCCAGGGGAAGGGGAGTTGTGTCCGAAATATGCCCTCGTGGTGTGTGTGAAGCTGTGGGTGCTGGGCCGAGAGCTCTGATCTCATTAAACCATTGTCACCCGCCCAGCAGGGGCTGCTCTGCTCTAAATGTTTTAATGACTGTGGAGGCTGAGGGCTGAGCTGCAGCCCTCCACATCACCTAGGATTAAGTAAAAAAGCAATTCTGTTGCATCCATGAAAAGTATGAGGTCCAGAGTCAACTTCTAGTTCAAAGCTAATTGAAACCACTGAGGCTGTAAATCTGTTAGAGCAACTGAATACACATCTTTTGCTGCTTCATGACAGAGCTACCTTGTACCCAGAACAGTTTTCTGATGCTGTGGATTATCCTGTATAATTCTTAAGCTTAAATTTACTTAGTGTGTGTTTACTTTTACAGACTATTTTTGGAGATCAACATTGTTTGCAAATATTCATGTATTTATTTATTTAACTGAGAAGCAGTATAGTGCTAGAGGGCCAAATATTAAATACGGCATTTGCTTAGTTCAATTTACTTTTATTTTCAAAGCCATAAGACATTTTACTAGTTTCTTGTGCGTCTCATTGAGATCTTTGCTTGGGAATGGAAAAAATATTGTATTTTTAATTAATATTTAAATCAACTCTTAGTGAGTCCCATTGAAAGTAATCATTCTGGGTAAAATGGAAGAGACTTTTGCTTATCACTTCTGCTGGGCTCTTTGGTGCTCCTGATCCTCCTGTTCAACCCTAATTGATATTAGTTAGAGTTGAGTATCTGGTTTGGGATTAATACAGTATGAAATGCTGAGGCACATCTGTACTTCAGAGGTGGGGCTTATTCTCCATTTGTTCTGTGCCTGTAACTGCCAGTGACATTAATGGGCATTCCTTGCATGGCTGAGAGGAGACAACACCAGTGTCAACTTCACTGCTCCTCTAGTATGATCAATCTTAAATTAAAAAAAAAAAAATCCTTCCCAGTCCCCCACTGCTAAATAACATATGTGTATGTGTGCATATGAAAAATACATCGCCTTCTGGAAGACACAGCTGGGGAGGTCATTCATCCAAAATGAAAATAATAAACAGAAAAGAGACTTCTTTAGTGGTATGTACATACTAAGGCTTAAAGGCTGTTGAAATGGAAGATGTAATTGTAGCACTACTTTAGGGTGGTTTCATGGGTAGAATGACATTTGAAAGACTGCCTTCTTACTGATATGGTGACGAGCAATGAAAATTTCCTTGGATGCTATCTTGTGTGACTGCTTGAACTGATCTTTTTAAATGAAATATTTTCAAGTCCATTAATGTCAGTATTGTATAGATAATTATTTTTATTGACTCTGAGGATTAAAATAAACAACAGACTCAGCAGTGACAGATACTGGTTTGACTAAAAAGTATTTTAATCCACGCAGATATTCTGTGTGCCATTCAAAATAAAATTGCCAAACTTTGTATTGAAAGAGAGAAACGCAGAATCTTATTTAGTGTTGAAATTTGGTGCCAACAAACCAAGATAATTTAATTAGTGGTGCACATAGTATATCTTGACAGTTCTGGTTTGGGAAAATTATAATATGAATATTAACAATCAAAGAGTCTCTGAAAGTATTAGTGCCATGGTGATGAGATTAGTGAATTGGCCAATACTGTAGCAGAAAGCTGGATTCCAAGGGAATTATCCTTGAATGATACCAGTTGGTGCAATTAAAAGCCACAATTCAGTTGCCATATGGAAAGTGTTAGGCATCCTTACATGGTTTCAAAGCTATGTGCCAGAGGTTAAATTGACATATGAAGAAAAGCATAAATTAAATATTTTGTGTTATGACATTAAAAGTTGACTTTGCTTGAGCCATATGGAGGAGGTGGAT